TCCTTTGCACACCACGGTGCTCTGTCCACACTTGAAAAAAAAAAAAAAAAAATTGATAATGTTGCCTCCAAGAGGTGATTCTTTTTTCAAAAAATAAACAGCTATTCCAGGAGGGCCTTGACATTTTAATATTAAGTCAATGTGTGTACGTGTTGTAATAACCTGTTAAATAGTGAATACACACCAGCACACAAATGTGTTATTTTGTAAGATTTTTATTGAACAGCTGCTATCACACCCACAAACTGTTAAAATGTTAAACAATGGACGTAACTGGCCTGGTTTCTTGTCATTTCTTGCTGTTGTAATGGACAAAATGCAACACAATGTTTAACAAAAAAAAAAAAATTGACAGGAAAACATTTGAATTACAGACTGGAAAAAAAGTTGTTTTTGTAACGTCAAAAAAATGTGTTTTTTAACTATGGTATTTTCTTTCAGGCCAAATGCCAACATTTTAGTAAGCCCAGATTAAAAAAAAAAAAAGTAGTTTATACACTGACATTTCATTAACCATCGGCCAAATGTTGACAAAAAAAGTGTCCAAATATGCAAGCGATTTTACATGGACATTTCTAACTCAGGCTACATGTTGACACAAAATTAAGTCCGCATAGAAAAAAAGTAGTTTTACTGACTTTAATTTTATTTTGTGCAATGAAACACCCCCCCAATCTTGTTGCTGTAGCTGCAAATTTCCCCAGTGCGGGACGAATACAGGTTCTTAATGCTGCCTGTCAAATGTTGACAATAAAAAAAGCTGCGTTTGGAAAAAAATGTTTTATGTTGACTTTTGTTTTATAGCTCTGTCCAAAAGTTGAAAAAAAACTTTTGTATTAATTTTTCTTTTCTTTTAAACCTTGGGTCGAATGTTGGACAAAAAAATAAAGGCCGAGATAAGAAAAAGTTGTTTTGTATTGATTTTTTTTTTTACCTCTGGCCAAATGGTAACACCCCCCCCCCAAAAAAAAAAAGTTCAGATAGGAAGAAGTTGTTGTGTTCTTATTACCTTGTTGTGAACAGTTTTTTGAGCGTCCCTAATTGTCATTGACGGGTTGGCTCCGGAGCAGGAGCTCTGTATTTTGGGCCTTCAGTCTTTCAAGCTCCCGCTCCAGTTCCCGGAGGCGCGCCAGGGGCTCCTCCACGCTCATGCCGCCTCCCCCGCCGCCTCCGGGCTCTACGGCAGCGCGCCTCAGCCGGTTGTTCTCCTCCTCCAGGCGGGACATGCACTTCTCCAGCTCCAGGTACTCTCTCACCAGCTCCTGCTTGGTCATGTTCTGCAGGCTCTCGACGTGGTACATCTCGTAGGTCTCGGAAAAGTCCCGCTGGAGAAACTCCCCGCCGGCGTTGCCAGGCCTCCCGATGCCGTCGCTGCTTCCCCCGCCTCCTCCTCCGCCGCCTCCGCTCCCGTCATCATCGTCCTCGTCGTCGTGCTCGAAAAGGTCCTCCTCGCTTCCAGTGTCGTCCGGCCGCCGCGCCTCTGTGTTGAGATCCGGCTCCTCGCGGTCGTGCTCGTCCATGAGGAACTGGGTCGTGTTGTACGGAGCCACCGGGAGCCCCTTTGCAAACATCTCCTCGCGCAGGCGGGACGCCCGGGCGGTCTCTCGCTCGTCCAGCGCCTTCCGCTCCTCCCACGAAAGTTTGTAGTAGGGCTTCCAGTGGCGCTTCTTTTTGGCGGCGCGGCGCCGGTGCCGTTTCCGTCCCAGGCGTGCGTCCACTACGAGGCCGGTGTCCGAGTCAACTTGGAGTACCCCGGTGGACGGCGGTGCGTCCCCGGCGTTGGGGGACTCGTTTCCGGGACACTCCCCCCTCAACTTGTTGGTGTTGACATCCTGGTGGTATTTGCCGCTCCTCTGGCGCCCTCTGTCGCCGTTATGCGGCGGTGCAGCAGGGTTGCTGGCTGGGAGATGCTTGGAGCCACCGCCGCTGCTCCCACCTGATGGGCTGGCCGAACTTTTCAGGTGGTCGGTCTGCTCCGCTGGTTCTGTCATGGTGATGCTCCTCTTATCTTTCTTCTAGTTTTTCAACGCATTTTAAAAACCCTTCCTGTTATGATTTAAACTAAAAAGTTTGTCAAATAAGAGTTTCGCCACAAATTAACAAATATCCACAAGGAGTAAAATAACCCCTCGCCCCGAAAAAATAAGTTGAGAGAAAAAAAAAGTGTCAAACTAATGACTGAACGGCACTCCTCTGAGGGTTTGACACTGTTAACCGTTTCAACGCTGTCACAGGCCCGCGTCCGCCCGAAGACAACGTCCCGCCGTCACAACAGCGTCCAGTATGCTGTTCCAGTGGAGGGAGCTCGCATTTATATACGCGCTCCGCCTCCAGCCGCGCGCACACTGCCGCTTGCTTCTGCCGAGGGATTGTGGGATACGAAGTTCGAGGCCCCGCTAATTTCCGTCAAAGCGGCTCAATTTTGAACTACAGCGTCCACAAGGCTCGGAAAAATGACGAGCCTGACAGCCAATCGGATGCCGGGCTGACCCGAGAGCACGCGCCAACCTCTCTCGACGCGGATTGGCCGAGAAACCGGTTTTGCTGTTGCTAAGATCATAGAATTTTCCTATTGGACAGTCTTGTTGTCAATCAAAATGACGTCATGGACGAGCAAGAAAGCAGTCCCCGGTTTTGCTTGGACGCTACCAGCTATGAATTCCGGGTATAAATAAAAAATCGAAATCTAAAGAGGAAGGATCGCTCCACCGTGGCTATACATCGTCCACAAAAGCAAATAATAGAATGTTTAAGTCACAATTTAAAGCTCGCTTTGACTCAACAACGCCATAATCGAACATCAATCGTATGAGCAAAACAGCCCCCTCCCTATATTTAAAAGAAAGTGAAGGAACCCGCTCGAAAAGGCTAGTCCGTTTTTTAATTTTCGCGAAGAGAAACGCATTATTAAGACTCATTTAACACACGCCATAAAGTGTAACTTTTAATTGTAAAGAAACACGTCATTCCCATGTGGATTTGGGCAATAAATACTTTGATGTGAGTATTTTGTTTCGTCGCGCGGAGTGATACGAATCGGCTAGAGCGTGGTTAGAGGTGCCTGGCGGTACTGTGGAATCAGCGTAAACAAACGACAAATGCAGTAAACCATCCGAGACGGCAACATCTCGGAACCTCTCGCCGTTAAAAGGGTGGGTCAGGCGAGACCAACTTTGCTCGATCATAAAACAAAAACGAGTCAACGGAGCGGCGTCGAGAGTATACTGCGACCAAGACTTTCTCTCTGAAGTTGCAGCGCTTATCTCGTTTTACACATATGTGTGGAAGACGCTAAGGATAAGCTAACTTGTTAACGTGGGGTGGCGTTGGCTTTTTCCTCCACGAAACAACACGTCAAACAGTTGAAGTCACGTTAACCCCCCCCCCCCAAACAATAAATGAAATGACGTATGGCGGTTCTTAAATGGTCATTCACGCCAAAAGGAGGACTATAACGCCATGGCTGACGCCGTAAATGAAGCAACAATGGCGAGTGAGTTACTTAAATGCGAAACAATGCAAGCGGTCAATGAAAGTGACAAGAGCCCCGGTCGTCTTGAAATAAACACGTCCTGGATTTTCACAATGTCCATTTGATCACAATATATTTGGAACAAAGTAGTTCTAACTCAATAAAACCGACCATAATGCTTAGGCCAACGTGTGATTATACGGGGGCCTAGTGTATTTGCTGCAGTCCTGCTACTTCCCGTCGGGAGTTCCGTATTACTTTGTTATTTAATCGTTGAAAAAACTTACGTAGCGTCTTAAATTAGTCAATATATTTTAATCTACAAGAGTCCAACTTGCCTCAAATTGTCTATCATGCCGGTTAAACCGTGCGTTAGCACCTCCTGACGCTAGCTTTTTCAGGAATTAGACGGGACCCATCTCGGTGGTAGGCATGGTTTAATCGTGAGGACTAGCAAACTAGTTTTTCAAGACACACAATGTGCTCTGAAATGCTAATAAAATAAATGAATGGTTGATTAAACGCGTCATTAAAAAAACAATTTTCTGCACGCTTGGTTAGATGTTATTGTTTGGAGTAAACAGAGGTACAGTACATGTTATACTGATCCTGCTTCACTATTTTGTGCTTTTTGGTCAGCCATTTTGACTTGCTAAAGAGTAATTGTAATACAGTAGTAGTAATACTACAAGTAGTAAGAGTACTAGTAGTACTATAGGGGGATTCATTGGCTCTTTTGAACTATTTAGAAGAAACAAACAGTGGTTCAAAGGTGTCCTGGTTCTGCTTCTGGGGTTTTTGTTGAGCCATTTTTTCTTCATCGTGACTACTAGTATTAGTAGCATCGTACTAGTATCAGTGTCATACTACTACTAATAGTAGTGGAGGTTAGGGAATCCACTGGCTCCTTTCAACTATTTGGAGTAAACAAACAATGGTGCAATGTTAAACTGAGACTCGTTGCCTATTTTTTTTTTCTATTTTTACTGGCTCCTGATTACAAGTAATAATAGTATTAGTAATAGTAGCTGTATTATTGTGACAGGGGGAATTTACTGACTCCAAAAAACACAAGGCCTCTTGTTTCCACTAATAGAAGCAGGCCCAGTTACTTTGAGCCAAATGGCAGGCCAGAGTCAGTTAATATGGAACCTTTCATGGCAGATGAGATTGAGAAATCATAGCCAGAGCTTGTCGGTGTTGTGGTTGGACTCGGGGAGAGGAGGGAGCCAGAGAGCTGCCACGCTGCTGCACAGATCACAGCTTGTACGGATTAGCAAACTTAATCTTAACATGGCCGCCGCCAGTGCTGCAATTGAGGGAAGATGAAAGATGCATATTGTTGTGACGGCCTTCATCTCACCAGACCCCGGAGAGCCTATTCAATGACAATCTGAGTTTGTATGATTCACCTTTGTAAAAATGGAAGAAAACAAAAACTGCAAAACACAGTTATATAAGATTAAAAGATTAAACTAGAGCATCGTTTTGCAATTTATCTGTCCAATACAAGATGCATTGCACTAATAGATTGTGATAGAGCAGTAACTGTGTATGACCACCCGATGGTGCTGCTTTCCAAGTGATTGTTAAATTGTTTTTGGTGCTTTTAGTGTCTGTTTACTCAAACTGAATTTTTTCTTTCCTCAGGTGGACCACTGCAACAGCCAGTTGAAGGCAAAGTGACGTCACCCTCTTGGTGGAGACCATCGTCATGCTACAAAGACAAGTATGGTATTTTTGTTTTGAAAAATGAAAGGTGCAGGGGATATACATTTGATGGCATCACTCACCACATTAGATAAGATCTCTTAACATACAGCGCAACAACAAAAAAAGAACTCAGTTTTATCCAACCAAATTAGGTAATAATCATTTTATATTTTTCATTCAGGGTCAAGGAGAAGCGCATTGGAGCACCCAATGTGGGGCGAGAGGTGGAGTCCAGCCTCTGGACTGGTCATCTATCAATAGGATTGACACAGAAGAAAGACACGATAGATCACGCTTATATTTACACCTACATGAACAATGAATTAAGCTAACATCCCGGTAAATGTTTGTGTAAACATTCAAAACATTTTAAAGTCTTCAATGGAGCTAACCTGGAAGGTTTTGTCAACATCATGGGCAATTTTGTTGATAAAGATCTGGATATACATTTTTTTTTTTTTTTTTTTTTTGCAGACAAGAATTGAATAGGCAGTGAAGTTAAATGTACACATTTTCACCATCATCAAAGCCCAGTCTTCAAAGAAGCTATTATACAGTGGATGTAAAAAAAAAAAAAAATGTACTCGCCTCTGTTCTAATGCCAGGTTTTGGTAGTAGAAAAGAAATGAGATCAAGAAAAATTAAAGACGTTTTCTACCATTTATGTGACCTACAACCTGCACAACTCAAAAGGAAACTATTTTTAAGAGGGAAAGTAAAAATAAACAACGGACAATGTGGTTGCGCAAGTGCACACATCCTCAAAACTGTGATGCTGCTGTGTTCAGAATTTACCAATCACAATCAAACATGTTAGAGTATTCAGCACACACCTCCCACCATTGAAAGTGCCCCTGATTAACCAGAGTATTTTTTTTTTTTACTGTTGTAGTAGTTTCCTGGTATATTTTTTAAATGAATGAATGAACTGTTCATAATTCCCTCCACATAGTTGTCTAAGCAACTTTTGTCCATCATTCCCATTGTATTATTTTACACAACACCTGTGGACCAGGTTGTGTCGTGCACGGTGACTTGTCATACAACGATGACTACTAACTCATATTACTATCACACTTAACCCTTTCATGCACCCTGTAACCTGATAACATGATAAGCCGTCCACTGTCGTAACCACTGTCCCTGAAAGGGTTCATATTGTCCATGCATCAAATATCCCAAATTTTGCTCTGCATTTGAATTCTTTATTTTCTCTGAAGCCATCAATTTGTAAAGTGAATATAATTGAGTAACATTTAAATGTAAGCCGCAAATTCACCCCCTCTCTCAGGCTATTGAATAGACGGTCCTGAAAACCTGGACTCACCCCCGCTCACCCATTTTTAATATGCTTATATTTATATTTTATGTTTATATTTATTTCTATACTTTTTGTCTTCTACTTTCTCCCTTTCATAATTTTGCTGCTGTAAATTGGGAATTTCTCCATTGTGAGACAAATAAAGGTTTTCTTATCTACTCTTATATCTCTCTCTCTATATATACATTATGTAGCATTTAAAAATAACGGACAGAAGTGGCAGGGCCATCGTGAGTGACATGCGGAGCGTCAGGTTGCTGTGTTGATGCAGGCGGAAAAGCTGCGCAAATGTGCGCCTGCTTTAGGGCTCATATTACGTGGAGGCACAGGGAAGGAGCCCTCCCTCCCTCCCTCCCTCCCTATCGTGGCTCTCTCTCTCTCTCTCTCTCTCTCTCTCTCTCTCTCTCTCTCTCTCTCTCTCTCTCTCTCTCCCCCCCCCCCCTTTTCATTCCTCGGGTGCTTTTTGGGCCAGAGCGAGTCCACGGAGGCACCTGGCCACAAGCAGCAAGTTGCTTCCAACCCAGGCAGGCAGGACGCAAGCGTCTCTCAGCCATCATGTTGGCCAGCAGCGGCAAGTCACCGGTTACCTCTGCCAGGGAGTCCAGAGCCAAAGTGCCCGAGAGGACCGCGGATCCCATTCGGAGGCTTGGTAAGTCCCAATTTATTTATTATTACTCACTTGTTGTTACTACTTCACCGAACACGATAACTTTCAAGCCGCTGATCTGTGAACTCATTAATACGCCGCCCTCCTTACATCTTTTTGTACATTTTTGATTGATTCTTGTGCAAATATTCTGGAAAAAGAGCACACATTGGAGACCACCTGCACACGTCGAAATGTTATACAAGTTTTGTATTACATAATCTATTTAGCACAGGCTTGCTCCCAAAAAGGTTGAAAAAGGAGAAACGGTTACAAATGTGTGTGAATGTCAAAAGAGCATTGACTGTTTTTATTTCGCAATCCTCATCAAAGACGTTTGACAACTTGAAAATGTAAATTTATGTGAAATCAAAGACGGTGTCGTGTCTTCAGTTCACCTGATCTGTTTTGTCACTCAGATGAACATTAAGTTCTTTGGAGGCATGTATGTTAAGTTCTTTGAACAAAAAAAAAAAATTGAGAAGAATAGAATTTTGTCAATGCCTTTTAAGGACTCTCAATTGTTTGGTTCTTTGGAAACAAACGTGTCTTTCATATTGACAACACAAAGTTTTTTGAGGACTTAATGGCCTTTAATGTTGACAAAAAAAGGAGTCCTTTGCAGACTCTGCTTAGCTTGGACAGAAAACACACATTATGGTGACAAAGAATACAACTTTAGTTTAGCTTAACTTAATATTTTGAATTTCAAATTCTTCAAGTAAGCTAACATAACACTGAAATCAAAAAAGTCTCCATCAAAACTGCTCAACTATAACGCTGGATGCTCTCATAAATAGGTGAACGCACTGTGCATTTGATGTCATGCTTTGCCGCACCAGCGCTGCAACCATCGGCTGCGAAGTGCACATTTCGTGGCGCCCAAAACAACGCCAGAAGCCTCCGTTTGATGAGCCGCTGTATTATGAGCGCCGTAATCTAATGGGCAGTAGGTGCGTGTGGGCGTAAGGCCATCTTGAACGGAAGCGAGGGGTCATGTTTTACCCATTTACACACCCACCCCACATGCAAGCCCATCCACTTAAAATAGACACCTGCTCAGCTACAAAGCGCTTGTCAAGTACCCCCCCCCCCCCCCCCCCCCACCCCCGCAGCGCGTGGGGCCCCGCACCTCCCTGAGGAGTGGCTGGATGTCCAAATACCTTTTTTTAGGAACATGTGCTGTTGTAGTCAGTGGTGCAACACTTTTAATTTTAACGCAAACACAAAATCGTCTGGCAGCCAGTCAGGTTATGTCGTGTTTTGCGGAGAGCGCGAATCTGCAAATACAGTCGAGGCGACGTATCGTTCAAACTGTATCGGCGATGTCTTGAACGTTCTTCACTGTCGTACCACTCCAAAAGAGAAGCTAAACGCGTAGTAGTACAAACGATAAAACGCCACCTCAGTTCTATTGAGAATGGATAAACGTCTGCATCATTTACATTGCGCATATACAGCATTTAATGTTTTTACTTGTTTGACTTGTTTGAAAACGTTGAAGGCATTTTAGTTTTCAAGGAACTTGACGTAGTTGGTTGAAAATGTTGATGACAATTCGAACCTATCATGTTTTCATCGACATCAAAGATAGTTTAAGAAGTTAATATACTTTATCCATCCGTCCATTTTCAAATCCGCTTTTCTTCACAAGGGCCGCAGGCATGCTGGAGCCATTCCCTGCTGAGTTAGAGATGCAGGATTTGATTCCAGCTTCGGCCTTCCTGTATGGAGATTGCATGTTCTCCTCCCTGCCTGCGTGGGTTTTCTCCGGGTATTCAGGTTTCCTCCCGCATTGCAAAATCATGCATGGCAGGCTGATTGAACGCTCTAAATTGTCCCTATGTGCGAGTGCGAATGATTACTCAGCTACATGTGCCCCTGCGATTGGCTGGCAATCACTTCAGGGTGTACCCCGCCTACTGCCCGCAGTTAACATAACAACAATGCTGGTGGAATTGCATTACCTCCAATGTATTCAGGATAGTCTTGGATAGAAAACAAAAATAATCCATACAAAAGAAATCTTTACATTGTTGCAGAGTCCAACTGGTACCCCAAGTGTCAATTAATGTCGATTCCGCATGCCTACTCACATTACGGGTGTTATAGCTCGGGGCTCGTCAGTGGAAATAGCCACTGTGCCAGCGTTGAGCCGGAGTTTTATGCAAACAGCTATTGTGGGTTTAGCTACTGTGTGTGTGCGCGCGTGTGAGCTCGGAGCTGCTGGCTCCTCTCACAGAAGTGGAATGTAGTTGGTAATGAAAAAGAAAAAAAATAAAACAAAACAATATCCAGCCGGTGGATTCATTTATCACAAATCCGATTTGCTGGTGATCTTCCTTGAACTTTTGACACGCCTCTTCCAAGCTACGATCTGACTCAAGTGAGTGTTCGAGTCTCCCGTAATATTCAAGAAGTCCCTCTGAGTCACTTGTCGGTCACTTGAGCAATTCAAATGAAAACTCACATGCTCAATCAATCGCCATCATATCTGCCTAAGACACCCCGTCGGACTACGAAGGAGATTCAAATAATGCTGCTTTGAGAAGAAATGAACCCTTTCGTTCTTCGGAAGAACTTATTACGCACCAACCAAGATCAGGGCTGGCCCGAGCGTTGAACATGCACCATTTTTTTGGAGGGGGTGGGGGGGGGGTAAAAGACAACTGAGGGTCATCGAAAGGACATAACACATTTTTGAGTAAGCATCAAAGACAAATTAGGCTTCAAGGAACTCACATGGAAGACAATTTAGGGTCTTCAGACAACCCGACACCATGTTAAAAGGTCCCCTAAAGTCCATGGAGCCTTCTGGGGGACTTGAGAACTAAAATGTCCCATGGCCTCGCTCCTCTTGTTCTGATTATTCCCCACGCACAGACTTCCTCAGGCCGTCCTCTAGACCGGACTTAAGCCAGGCGGACAGCTGCCCTACTTTCGGGCCCGCCGCGTCTCACGCATGCCCGAGTGCCGCCGCGGCTGCGGTATCAGCGACACCTTTCATTCTTGTATACGCGAGCGTGCGATCCTTCGGCTCACTGGCTCCGGTGGCGCTCCTTATGCCCGAGGGAAACCTGAACCGGGCCCCGGGTATAGCTGCTCCGGACCGCGTTCACGCTCTTACACATATGCACACCCGTTGTTTTTTGTTTTTTTTTTTCCTCGTGTTGATAACCCTGCTTTGGATATGGCAGTGCGGTTGCTAGCCAGCCAGCATGCAAGATGGTGGGAGGGGGTTGTGGAGTTAGGGGGCTGGAAACCAAGGGAGATTTTCTACAGCCGAGCTCTTTTCAAGATTAGCAGCCCATCGGAATGCGGTTAAACGGACATAAAATACCACTGGAGACACTTTGCACAATAGAAATTGATTTTATGTCTAGAAATTAGGGGTGTACAGATTGATTGGCTGGGATCGGCACCAATTTTCTTAATTTTTTTGTGGGGGGGGGGGGGGGGATAGAAACGACCACCCCCAGGGCACTCACAGGCACACATTAAAATGTACCCGTTTCCTGATGAACACAATGGCTGATTTCGACAGTTCTGTATTGTAAGCGGCACATTGCACTGTGTAAAGGAACACGGGAGGGTTTATGCGATCGCTCCTCTTACTTGTTATTCATAGTAACTGCACACTAGATGTAAACAGAACGACCAGAAATAATCCACAAAAAAATCCATAGCATTCTCTTGCACAAAATGCTACGTGCTATTTTTTATCAGATTTATTCGGACGCCTCTCACCAGTTTAAATGACCACTTTTGCACAATGGAAGTCAAGACAATGACAAAGGTTAATCTGACAGAACAGAACGACGAGAAATAATCCATAAAGTTAAAAAATAAAATAAAAATCCCCGACCGGCTTGGCCCCACACAGACAGAAGCCCGTCATGTACATGTCGTGCTTGAAGCTGTCGTTCCTCTCATCGGTTATTCATGATAAAAGACCACATAAACGCAACTGCTTGAAATAATCTATCAAGACTTCAGGAGGGAAACAAAAAAAAATTCTCTACCGGCTCATTGTACATATCATACGACTCACGTGTTACATATCCTTGATCGATTCCTTGTGATAGCCGCCACCGTACCCGATAGAAATGAACCCCAACAACTGGAAATAATCCACACAGTAAAGTCCTCTGCACACTTTGTCACATGATTATCAATATAAATATCCTGTAATCAATGCATTGGCGACTCGCATTAGTGATTCGTGCTCACCGCCACCTTGCACGGTCGAAATCAACACAAATAAAGACAGAAAAGCAGATTTTGGGACAGTCAGCAACGCGATGTAGAAACACAAGGCCGTGGCCGTTTGGCCATGAACACTGTTGTCAATGACCTGCGAGTTAATGGGGGGGGGGGGGGGGGGGAAGAGGGGGGTCTCGCATGTGGTAACAGCTTGGAACAGGGCCCAGCAAGGGGGGAGTTCTTTGTGTCCAACGGGGCAAGGAAAAGGGGGAGCGGAGAGTGAGTGGTTGCTTATTTCTATGAGACCCCCCACCCCTCCTCCCCAAAAGGAGTTTGTGTAATTAAAGCGTTAGAATGCTCCGGTATTTTTCCAAGCTCCTCACAAATCTAGGTAAGACGGAGCCGCCCAGGAGTAATGTGACATGGGAGCGCTCTGGAAAGACTCGGAACACTTTTCTTTTTGTCCCGGCCGCCATTCACGCGGGCAAATGGAGCGGCTCATGCATAGCGCGAAAAAGCAGCGGGTCTCCTTAAGAGCGCAGCTACTGGAAAACACTTGCGAAAAATGCGGACTCTCTAAACTCGGGATGTGTAAGAAAAAAAAAAAAGATTAAAAAAAAACAAAAGGAGTCGTTCACAGTGTGTGTTTCGAACCTTTGGAATGAAAGCTGCGTAAACACTCCAGTTCCAAAATCAGATAACAAAGACGCCATTGTAAGGGGACCACACTGCAGCTTTTTAAGGTGGAGCCCAATCCTGTTCGGCAGCAGCAGAAGTGTTTTCCCATAGGAAAAGCACGTTTTATTCTTTTATTAGACAGTTGCGGGGTCAAACTGTCCCAGGCAGTCCGAAGCAGACGTTCTGCACTGTCCCACAAGTCTAAAAATATGTTTAATGCTGTTCACGGGAAAGCGTGTGGTCCCCCTTAACGCTGAAGATTTGCAAACGTGCAAAGGTCAAGGTGTATGCCGCTCTTCCTTTATCCCTTGATACGATACCATATTGTCATATTCATTTCTTCATTTATTTCGTATTAAATAAATGACATTTATTGGAATTCAATCATTTTGCATTTCATAATACAGTAGTAGGCAATAGTTTCTTTGATTATTGATCATTCTCTGTTTACAAAATTAACATCATTATTTTGTTAATTTATTTATCCTTAGTTCATCATTTCTAAAAGAACAATATGAATTTAATTTTGTTCTTTTCAAATAAAATATATTTTTTTTTCCTTTTGTATATTTATTAGTTGTATTATTATTTTTTTTTTCAAAGCACATTACTTTTTTTTTCCTGCATGTGGAGTTTATCTGTGATTACATTTCCATGCGTGGAGGCAGAAGTCGAAGTCGTTCATCCAGACCAAACATTGGCAACTTGAAGCTAACTCCAGCGCTTTTTCTTCTTTTTTTTTTTTTCTTGGCCGGCTCCTGCCTCGCCGAAGACGAATAAAAAAAAAAACAATACAGAATGATTTACGCTTGTCGGCCATGTGTTTTGTGGCCTTTTCCAGCAAGTCCTCGCTGAAACTGCGGTGACATAAACACGATTTGTCCTTGCGGCGTCCAAAAAAGGCTGCTTTTGTGGCACCGTGCTCCTGCACAAAAACATCCTGTAAAGTCCACACAGAAGAAGTCTTTATGGCACTCCAATTTTGGGGATAAACACAGTCACCACCGATGAAAGTTGCTGTGTAAACGCGCATGTTTACACTACAAATATACAGGTCTAGCGCAGGGTTCTATTGAATCGGTTCTATCTATTCTATTCAATCTCTCCAGTGTGATTAATGATAGCCAAATACTAATGTTATGCTACTCACGCAAATTCTATTCGTACGTGTGTGTTTGAGGTCTGCTGGACAACGAGGACGTGCGTGTGATGATGCGGGGCTCCAACATGGTGAAAGTTCGCTCTCCGAGATGGCAGAAAAGCCGAACCCTGCGCCTGCTGGAGGACGGACTCACCGTGTGGTGCGAGTCGTCCAAGAGTTCCCGCAAGGCCAAAGCCCGTCAGACGTGTGAGTGTATCACCATGCACAGTAGAAATAAACACAAGGGCGAGAAATACTGAGGAACCTAGCTTTTGCTTTTCAGTGGTTTTATTCATCTAGATTTTTCATACCAAAAAAAAAAAAAAAAAAAAAATTCTAAATAGACTGTTTTATTAATTTGAAGTCGGTTGAAGTCGCCTGAGTGTTGCTGATCCGACCGGGAGGCTTGTTCTTGCCTTGAGTTTTTAATAAAAGCTTGCAACGTTGACCCCATTTTACACAAAAATCCAGGTGCCAACCATTTGATAAAGAAGATGAGAAACTTGATCAAATTCAAGAGAGAACTCACTTTATACGCCGTCAAGAGTCTTTAATCAAGCTCATGTTCTCGTAACCCGTTCATTAGTCATTTGCATTTCTGTCACACTTTTTTGTATAGCTAAAGTTGTTCACTATGGAATTTATGTGAGCATTTTGAGGTATCTGGAACGGATTGAGTGGATTCATATGATTTCCTATGGGAAATTTTCCTTTGGTTTTAAATTTTGGTTTTCATCAGACTTTCTGGAACTGATTAATTCACAACAACCGAGCTACCACGGAAATCCGCTACACGCTTGTTTTCACATAAACAATCAATGTGTCACTGTTATACAATGAATGTGGCTTGTCAGTTATTTATGATAATCGCCACCTCGGACAGCCGACAGCAAGTTCGCTAACTCAATGTATACTGTATGTCATAATTAATGCAATCGCTCCTCTGGCCCATTGATCTTGAAATTGTCTTTGCTGTGGGAGGAGGAAACGGGCTTGAGGAACATTCCGGAAAAAAGGGAGAAAGGAAAGCGCTCATGAGTAAGAATAGCCTGGCAACAATGAAAATGTTTTCACCCAGAGGAAACTCAAACCGTATCAGAAGAGGTGAAAGTTGAAAAGAAAAGTGGAGCGATTAAGGTACTGTAATGTGCTCACTTGTGGGCAAGGAGAGCCACCGATGCGCCTTTCGCTGCGTACAGTGACGCTCTGCATACTCAACACTCATGGAATCACTGATTTGCCATTTCTTTTTTTTTTTTTTTAGCGCTTCAACACTCATGGAATCACTTATTTGCCATTTCTTATTTTTCGGACGGCCCTTGTTATCATCGTACATTTGAGTGCCGAGAGATGAGCTAGTTTCGCCACACAAGATATTTCGGAAGGTGTGATGTGATGGCTGCATTCCGGCACGTCAGCTTGATGTGAAACACACACACACATACACACACACGTTACTTTTGTCACATCCCCGTCAAAAAATACGACGACGTAATGCAAGGTCATTTTTGAAGACGTTTCGTCAGCTCAGGGGAAAGAATGAGGCTATTATGAGGACTGACCGAGTTGACGCATAGCAGCCATCCCAGCTCTCTACCAGTCAAAAGTGTGGAGACAGCACTTTCAAAATTATGTGCAAATGACATTTTCCTGCTTTTGTGGCAAAATATATGTGATTGGCTGTCATTTATGGTCAAGTCGCTTTGTTACAATGGTGGAATTTATGATTCCCTAAAAATTCCTTTGACACCTCAAACATCCTGCCTTATTTTTACTTTGAGCCAAGAAGCTACCATATGTGACACACGTGCACATTTTAATGTCATTGTCACTCCTCCGTCTCCAGTTGCGGTGACCGAAGTGGAGTGTGTGCGCGAGGGTTGCCAGTCGGAGGCGCTGCGCCGGATTTCGGGCTCGGTGCCGGACAGCCACTGCTTCACGGTGGTCTTCCGGGGGGCCCGCAAGAGCCTGGACCTGCTGTGCCCGTGCGAGGACGAGGCGCAGCGCTGGGTGCGAGGCCTGCGCACCCTGAAGGAGCGCGTTGCCAACATGACACAAAAGGAGAAACTGGACCAATATCCTTTGTTTTAAAGTGTTTCAGGAAAAAAAAAAGAACAGACAGAATCTAAACAAACATAAAAGAAAAAAGAATTAATTTGTCACATTGGCATGGTTGGTTGAGCTTTCTTTTCTGTCCAACCCACATTTTCTGCCCGTCTTCCTGAACCCTCGCTCCGCTCCACTTGGATCCGCGGCTACCTGCGGCGAGCGGATCAGAACCAGGACGGCAAGATGAGCTACGACGAAGTCCGCCGGCTGCTGCAGATGATCAACATTGACCTGAGTGAGCAGTACGCTCGCTCCTTGTTCAAGGTCAGGGGGGGGGGGGGATCCCATACATATTGGAGCCTGGTTAGCCGACACCGTCGATTGACTCCGCGCTTCAGCTGTTAGTTTTTGTTTTATGCTCCTTTCTGATGATGGAATGTGCTCTATATTCCCTCCTGAGAAATGTTCTTGATGTACACAGCTGTAGAAATGCTTTCTCAATGGGGAAGGTGGATCACGCCCTCACCAAAAAAAAAAAAAAGCATTACATTTTCGTCCTCGTTTTGTATTTTACCCTCTGTGTGTTCTAAGAAGCCCGCCAGGGGACGGACTAGATCATGTTCTCACTTTTTTTTTTCAACTCAAGACATCAATTAGAAATGTGAATCTTCCCCAGCCCTTGCACAACTGAAATAAAGAATACACAAAGTAAAAAAAAAAAAAAAAAAATGTACACCGCATGGGCATCATCGTTCATTTCTACTCACAATAAACATCACCCCGCACAACACGAATAATGCCACATAAGTAATCCATACAGATCTTGCATTCCCAGAGGTGCGACCGGTCCGGGGACAGCCGTTTGGACCACAACGAGATCGAGGAGTTCTGCCGGGAGCTGCTGCGCCGGCCCGAGCTGGACGCCGTCTTCCGCCACTACTCCAGCAACGGCTGCGTGCTCTCCACCGCCGAGCTGCGAGACTTCTTGGGAGACCAAGGAGAGGACGCCAGCCTGGCCCACGCACAGACCCTCATCGGCACCTTTGAGCTCAACGACTGGGGTGGGTCAAAACACACACACAGTAATACATTTAAGAATCAGGATCTCTGATGGACATATTTTATCGTTTTGTTTGTTTTTGATCAATATTGACACTGTTGTTGTTGTCTTTTGTCTTATAGTGATTGTTTCAATCATTTTGGTGTGATAGTGGTAGTATGAAGAGCTGGATTAAGACGAGGGGGATGATGATTCATTTCAGCGATAAAATGACAGTGAGAAATGTTGTCTTTGGGGATTTGCAGCACAGAGGAACCACTTCATGACACAGAACGGCTTCACAATGTACATGCTGTCACGGGAGAACGATGTGTTGAACCCAGAGCACGCCCGCGTCTACCAAGACATGAGCCGCCCCCTGGCCCATTACTTCATCTCCACCTCGCACAACACCTACCTCACCAAGGACCAAGTGACCAGCGCAAGCAGCACCGAGCCCTATATCAGGTATTCACAGCGCTCTCATATTCCTGCAATCTTGAAACGGCAATTTTTTAAGAAACTGTGTGTACGTTAGGGCTTTAATTCAAGGCTGCCGCTGCGTGGAGCTGGACTGCTGGGATGGAGATAAAGGCGAGCCGGTCATCTACCACGGTCACACGCTGACTTCCAAAGTGCCCTTCAAAGAGGTCATTGTCACCATCGCACAGTATGCCTTCAAGGTGAGACCACACATCAGAGTCTGAAAAGTGAAAACTGGTTTGACAAAAGTACTTGAAAGTAATGTTATACAAAATAATAACAAATCCAAAAATATTAGAAGAAATACACCAATATGAACAAATGCAAATATGTGAGAAAACAAAATACTCGCTCAGAAATACACAGTAAAAATCTGACAAAAACTACAATTGTTTGGCGAAAATGCAAACCCATTGGCAGAAAAATATTCAGTAAAAAATGTTTTAAATAGTACAACAAAAATATGATGGAAAAAAAAAAAAACAAATTTATTATACAGAAAATATAATAATTTGAGGGTAATTCAACAAATGTCCAAGACAAATATGTTGAAAACAGGTTAAAAAAAGGACTGAGAAAACAATTTGGAGAAAAATACTGTCCAATAATATTGTTTCCAAAAAAATCCCAAACAAACCAAATAATTTTTTTTTGTCCACTAGGCGTCTCCATACCCCCTAATCTTGTCCCTGGAGAACCATTGCTCCGTGGAGCAGCAAGTGGTCATGGCCAAACACCTCCACGCCATCCTGGGCAACAAGCTGCTGAACAAGCCCCTCAGTGACCATGCACTCGATGACCTGCCCTCACCTGAAGTATGAACCACACACTCACGCTTAAAAACAAAACAAAATACCCATCAAATCGTCGTTCTAATGGTGGTCCTTGCAGGAGCTGAAGGGACGTATACTGGTGAAAGGGAAGAAGCAAATCCCTCAGCTGGGTCAGCTGGGCAAGAACGGAAGCTACGGCAGTTTCTCCTCAAGCTCCGAGGATGAGCAGACAGGCGGAAACAAGAGCACGCCCAGGAAGGACCCAGCCAAGGTCAGAATATAAGCCATTTTTACCTCCGCCAAGAAAGTTATGGTCTTGTCCACATAATAATATATTAAAAATTAAACAAATATTTGACACAAATAAAACAAATTATTAACACAAAATCCTACACTTAAAAACAGAAGAAATAAAAAAAAACAAAATGGAAAAAAGGGTAAAATGTGGAAATATTAAAGGAACAAAAGACAATTATTTTCAACAAATACAAAAGTATTACACACTAAACTGTTGAATAATATTATGACCAAAAAAATAGGGACTAAATAAATAAGTGCAACATTTAAATCTACATAGATGAAAAGTAAAAATAAAACGACTCTAAAAAAAATATTCGCCAAAACTACAAAAACATTGTGGAGAGAATACAGCCGTTTTACCTGCACTAAACTTTGTGGGTCTATATTGTCCGTTTGTGTGTTCTAGCCACAGTTCCCTAAGATAAAATTCTTCGGAAGAAAAAATGTAACATTGACAGACCTCCACCAACTGCCAAAAAGACATAAAAAATCTTAACTGTTCCTCTCCAGCGCCATCTGCTGGATCCTCCGTGCAAGTAACCCTTTCAGTGGAATGTGCTCATTGTTCTCAGGTGTGCTCCAAACTGAGCGTGGAGCTGTCAGAGTTGGTGGTGTACTGCCGCAGCGTCCCCTTCTGCGGTTTCACAAACGTGGGTGAAAAGCCGCCGGAGGAAATGTCCTCCTTCTCTGAGAATGACGCCCTCAGGCTCATCAAAGACTCGGGTACATAATTCTATAGTGATACAGCATAACACGATGATGATGTATCCCATTTACGAAATTCAATGTGGTTGTATGGATGCTGCCGCGTAATATATAACAATGGGACACATCACAATATTGATATGTGATTCATTTGTATGAGTAATGTTACATAAAAACCAGCAATGCGACATTATCACAATATCGATATTTGGTCAAGATGTATCACTGCTGCGGTCATTGAAAATGATACGACATGTCACATGATCAATATTCCAATCTGTATCGATGCTGCAGTGTAACAGACACAACGCAGTAGCGATATTTCACGTATTTGTATCCGTACTCTAGCACTTTTTTTCAGTGACTCATATCACAAAAACAATACTTGATCCAGTTGGATCAGAACTGAACCATAACATAGACATAACATTGTGGCATATCAATATGAACGTCCATTTGCTTATTTTTCAGGGAAGCTTTTTGTGAAACACAACAGCAGACAGCTAAGCCGGATCTACCCATCCGGACAGCGCCTCCAGTCGTCCAACTACAATCCCCAGGAAATGTGGAACGCTGGCTGCCAGATGGGTAAGCACATCAATACAGGGGTTGAGAAAAAAAAAAAGTACAAATCCGATTTTGATGAAGTCAAAAGTACAAAGCATAGCTCGCATTTCAAGTTTTGGGTCCAAAAGTAAAAAAGTCGTCAGTATAAATATTTGAACTAAGTCGAGATCTAGGTGAAAATTTTACTTCAGTGCAATAACAAATTATTTGTCCTTTGTTACTTCCAACCATCGGTGTGCAGTGGCTCTCAACTTCCAGACCCCCGGTGAGCAGATGGACCTGAACCAGGGCCGTTTTCTTCCCAATGGCCGTTGCGGCTACGTCCTGAAGCCCGGCTTCCTGTGCAGCGGCGAGTCCGATTTCAACCCGGAGAACACGGGTGGGGGTCCTGGTCACATCCCCACCCAGCTGACTATACGAGTAACTTCATTCAATAATGATACTGCCTTATATGTGTCTTGAATGAATTTAATTTAGTTGATTGTGTGTCCCCCCCCAGGTGATATCAGCACAGCAACTTCCCAAAATCAACACAGACAAGGCCAGCTCCATTGTGGACCCGCAGGTGTGGGTGGAGATTCATGGCGTGGCCATCGACAACACCAGAGACAAAACCCACCGCATTGACAACAATGGTACTTCCTTCATGTTATTTTATTTCCAGCATTTGTTTCACACATGAGTGAGAGGCCTGCTACTGAGTGGTGCGCCATAGGACTGATACACCTTACTGAGTTTGTTTGTGCGATATTAACTCTTGTGCGCCTCCCGCAGGCTTTAACCCGCGATGGGACTGCACACTCAGCTTCCAGTTGCAGGTGCCCGAGCTGGCATTGGTGCGCTTCGTCGTCGAGGACCACGATCACACGGCCAAGAACGACTTTGTGGGACAGTTTACTATACCCTTCACCAGCTTGCGTACAGGTACATTGGTACCCTGCACCCTGACAAATGTCCCATCTTATGAAATTATCAAATTATGAACATTGAGAGCTTTTATTTGGACAAAAGTAATACTTTGCCTTCACTTTCTGGCACTCTTGTGGCAAGGAACTGTGTTAAAGTGAGTTTAGGAACTTCACATAGACAAAAGTAGTGCTTTGCCTCCATGCTGTGGCACCTTGGTGTCAAAGAATAATGTTGAAATGAGTTGAGGAGCAATCTAGGTCTGTAAAGTTGAACAGAAAGTTTTAAATTGATTGATTGATAATTTCCCCCGGCACATTAATGTGGATTGACTGTACATCGAGAAATATCGTAATGTTGTTTACTAATCTTTGGTCATCTGCTCTCAGGTTACCGACATGTCCACCTGCTGAAGGCCGACGGGTCCCGGCTGGCCCCCGCCACGCTCTTCATCCACGTGAAAGTGTCCCGCAAAGGCGTTCCCATCAAACACGTGTGTGAAAGTACGCCTTCGCCCAAGAGAAAAGTGTAAAACTTCACCAAGTGAGACTTTAGTTCAGGGGTGGGCAAGCTTTTGTGCTCAAGAGCCACATTGGATTTTTACAGATGGACAACTCATTTGTAGATGATTTTAAAACTAATAATAATGATAATAATAAGTTAAACAATAATTAATTCTCATTTAATTTTATTATGTTGAATTAATTTAATTACAAATAGGGCAGCAAATGGCTAAAAAAAATAACTAATTACATTTTAGTAACCAATTTTAGGGGCAGGGGGCATTTTCAATGCAACAAATATTGCTCATCCCTGCCGAGGTTGGACACAAGCAGCACTTCATTGCCTGGAATCACAGCACGCCGTTTTTTTGTTCCCGCAATATGAACACAAATAAGTACTAATGAAGTACTAAGAACAACAACAAAAATCTAACTTACTGTACTTTGGCACTTTTAATGTCTTTTAATGTTTGTACCTCAACAACTTGAACTTAAAATGACAAAAACAAGCAGTATTAAAAAACGATGTTTACGTCTTAATCTGTACTTTATGTCCTACGTACTAGTTTCACATAAACAAAGAAAAGGAAATTAGTCAATTTACTCGTTTTGACTTGGAGACCAATTAGTCTGTTTCTCAATTTCTTGTTCTCTATGTTGCCAAAATAGAGCAAATGAATTGGCTGATTATTATAGTTTAACCTTTCAGTATTACAAAAATGTTTTTTGTAGTTGAACAGGTCATTTTATGCAGTGGTCTATTTATTGTGACTAATATCTTTATTACAAATGAATGAATCAACTACTAGCACGCTAATATATGTCTATAGATGAACTCAAGAGTCATTAATAACGGGGATTTATAATTCTTTGTGTTTGTTGTTTCTTTTTTTTGTATCAAAGCACTTTTTAGCGCTGGTTATCCTTTAACCTTCTGATGCAACCTTGTCATTGTCGCGCATTAAGTGCCAATAAAGTTTTAATTTAGTGATTTTTGTGTGTCTCAGCCCGAGATTAACTTTTTAAACTGTATCAAAATATTTCACAGCACATTGGCCAAGAGATCAGATTTTCACGTCAGGTCACATTGCTCCTATTACACACACTGAATTTTCCTCTGAAATGTTGCACTTTTCATGCTGTCTCCAAATAACAGGCCATGGTAGCAATTTTACTTTAATCTTGAGCCCAATTTTCACTGTAAAATTAAATTTTAGTCTTCAGTTAACCTGACGTGCATGCTTTTAGAATGTGGGAGGAAGCCGAAGTTTCCACAGGGTAACATGCCAACTCTTACAACTCTTTATTTGACAATCAAAATGACTTGACTTGACCTGACTTACACTGGAAGCCTTGACGCAAAACCGAACCTAAGAATGGGGTAGCATTGCATCCACTTTTAACCATACAAAAAAATAATTTTAATACCGTACTCACCACCCCAAAAAATATCATACTGATTATGATCTCTCAAGTGTACCACTTTGAATAAATATCTAAAAACATACTGGCTCAAAACGCAATTTTACAAGACAGTCACCGACAAGGGCAAGGTTTGTTGACGTAAACGGTGACGGACCAATCACAGCGAGGGACGTTTAAAGACCTCACGGACACACGCTATCATCTCACTTCCTGGTTGAAAATGGCGGATGAGAATGAGACAGCACCGCTGCCGGGGAAAGAAGACGTAGAGGACCATGGACACTGCAGCGACTGTGAAAATGAGGAACACCACTTTGACGATGGGTGAGACCGCTCGCCGGAGGTCGCGACGTTGTGAAAAAATAGTCATGGGATTAATGAGACAAAGTTAAAGGCGAGCGCACGCTGGCCACGGCGAGCTTGTCGGAGGGGGGAAAGCTAGTAGCGATGTCCCGCCCTTTTGCCTTCAAATTATTGGCTGGGGAGTATGTTTGCATGGGTCGTCTGTGATTCGATTGGTCGGGAGCGGCTAAGTGGGCGGTGTTTCATGTCAACTCATTAGCAAGGAGTTATAGGGGAGATGGCGAGTCCAAAGTATTCTTCAATACAAAGCTAATTGGTTTAATATTCACACATTATTCTCCGACACAACAGTAACATAACTTTGGCGTGATTGTCATGTTTAAAGATCACTCTGAATTGTTTTTTTTGTCAAACCATAAACGAGTCTGCGCTGATCCCCGCTTGACGTTTTGCTAATTAGCTTCTAATGCTAGGGCTAGGCACTGTGAACGATGTCCCCGCCTACTTTCACTCCTTTGGCCGAGGAGACAGTTTGTCTGAATATTCTCTGATATGATTGGTCCGCAGCGGTTTAAAAGTGGGCGGAGTTTCGTGGCGGCTAGCAAGGCGTTAGTTGGTTTAACTAAAACAAAGCTAATAAACGACACGGATAACTATTTCGCACATTCTACGCCTACAGAACAGCAACATATCTTTGGTTCGCATGACATCTTCAAACTCAGATTCATGACTGTGTTCAATGCGTCTCATCAACTCATAGAGTTCGCGCTCCTGCACTGTTGTACGTTGTGCCAATTAGCTTCTCGAGCTCAGCTAGCTGTCAAACCCTTTTGTCCAAGGGTAGGGAGGGAACCTCCAGTTACTCGAGAGCCATAACCTGCCTGTTTTAAATCTTTCTTTACTCCCAACACACATGATTCAACCGATCATGATCGTTAGAGGCTTCTACGGAGCTTGCTGATGAGCTGATCAATTGAATCAGGTGTGCTGAAGTAGAGCGAGATCTAAAACAGGCAGGATATAGCTCTCGAGAAGCCTAAGTACCCTACTGCTTTTGTCTGTGAGGAGAGAGGATATCTTGCTATTTCGAAGGAGTCGAATTAAAATAGGAATTTGTATGTGTGTGTGTGTGTGTGTGTGTGTGTGTGTGTGTGTGTGTGTTAAACAAGTATGGTGTTGTAGCGTTTCTTTTTGCAAAGATGAAAACAAAGGTGCCCTTGTCAACCGCTTCCTTTTAATTGCCACTGCGTTTGAGTTATGGAGCAAACCTTTTCGCTGGGTTCGGGACCAAAACTAACTGAATTGCAAAAACTCACCAACGGTAAATTATGGTTTAAATTACTCTGATCCCAAAGCACATACATTTCAATTTCAACTCATGACATTGCAGTGAAAATGTGAATCCTCGCCAATTTGCAAATCACAAATTCATCAACGTGTACATTTCTCTGTAGCTCATAATATTTGGAAAAAATCCACCTATTTTTGCCTATTCTGCAATTGTTTTATGTCTGTATTGCCACAAGACGCCGCCCAAATGCCGCGCCTCTTCTAGGGTGCCATGCCAGCGAAAGAGTCCCTAGCGTTGGTCAATGACTGATAGCCAGCCAGCTTGGCTAAGAACAACAAGCGTGACGAAAGTTTTCAGTTGAGGCGATGCATCTTGCGGAGTCGGCGCCGGAGAAAGCAGGGTGATAACCTTCAAAAGATGACTCGGAGAATAAATGAATGTCCGTGTCACGGGATCCAGAACAAAATGAAATGGCTATTAGTAATTAGTAATTTGTATTTTTAGAGAGTTGGCTCCCACGGCAAGCATTCCCTTTTTTCATCTGGCCCCTTTGCAAAATAATGGTCCACCCCTGCTGTACAGTATGTGGATGGTTTGGACTGGGGAAAAAATTGTTTTCAAGCTGGCTGGAGCACAAAGAACACTTGTGGCTGTGTGGAAGCCGATGGAACAGCCCATACATATTGTTTTGTGTGTCGTGCATTGTCCTGGACCCCTCACTCACACTCCTTTGTATATCCATAAATGTACATATGCATGGTCGGTCACCCCTTCGCTCCAAAGGTCATGCGATGTGCCATCTGTGTGCCGTCGCCCTGGGACAATAATGAGATTATCCTGTGTAAGTATGCAGACACAAGAAGAGGGATGAGTGGGTGCAGGAGCTTTATGTGATTTAAACTGGACCTAAGGTGAAGATAACTATACTTTAGGAAGAGAATATAGTGTTTAAGGGCAGTTCTTTGACCTGAACTTAATAAATTGACTGTTAGCATTTATAAGCTGCTAAATTCATCAATTCTTTTAAATTACTAATTTTGAAAATACTGTTGTTTGTACATTTAAGAACAGGTAAATTTTGCCTCTGGTATTTTTAAATGAATAAAATAATAGTAGGGCTGTTAATTTGTTTTTCAGTCATAGTAAAGGCCCCAAAAACAGAAAGTGTGGGTGAGTTTTCATTGAATTGCGAGGATTGGTTCCCCTACCAAAAATCAGCAAATCAACCAAGCCGCCAATGCCAAACATGAAACATGTTTGGTAATAAAATAGAAGTGCATAGTGACTTTACAAACACCCTGTATAAAATTCTAATTTTATGTACAATGCCATCTTAAATTGCTATACTTTTTCGTTTATTTGTATCATTTTGTGTTTGTGTGCTACAGGGGTTTGGGTGACGACAGTGGTACCAAGAAGAAGAGGAGGAAGCAAAAGAAGAAGAAAAAGAGTGGCGTGCCTACAGAAACCTCTCAAGACCACCTTGCTAAGGCATGAACCAATTACAATTTGACATTTTAATCTAACTATCATACATGGCAATTTTCCGCGGATCCGCGGAAATCCGCCGTTTTATTTCTTAAATTGATCATTTTTGTGAATAGTCTAAATCCGTTGAGAAAATTTTAGGGGCGGTCAGGTACCTTATCGTCGAGTTTTCACGAGCTCTCCCGAACAGTCTCTCCGTTTTCCGTTTGTAAACAGCCCTGCGATTGGACGTGTATGAAAGCTTTAACTAATCAGATCACAGCTCGATTATATATACGGCCCAGCGATTGGTTAACTACAAGCGCTTGGACCAATCAAATTGCCTGTAACATTGTTTACCTGATTCATGGCGGCCCGTTCGTCTCCCAAATTCATTGTTCTGGGATCGTTTTGAGCGGAATTATGAACGTTTTGACGAAAGATCAGGAGTCTTCAATCCTAGAAATTGACTCAAATGTCAAGAATAAATTCCGATGGGACTGGCTTGACAGAAAAGTCACTGTAAAGGTTAAAATTGGTTCCAAGTTCGACGAAGTTACAGAAGCTCTTGGACAATTTTTGAAGAAACCAGACGTAGCAGGCAAAGATTATTGTGTGTACTGTAGTGACTTAATTAACGTGGATGCGTGGCACTGACAGATCATGCAACAAAAGTGAAAAAACATGCCGACAAAATCGCCATTCGACGGAGCAATTATTCTTTGGGATCGGCATTTTTCAAACAAACTTAGTCAGCGGATACAACTAAAGACGTTACTGTATGAGGTAAGAATCAACAGCTTTTTATCACATTTACACAACACTTTATGAATACAAGTCATGAACAAATCTTAAATATGGCAGGGAATGTGTTTACTTTTTT